ATCCTGCCCCGTGCCCCTGCCCCCTGCCCCTGCCCCGTGCCCCTGCCGTGTGCGCATGCCCTGTGATGACTCCAGCTGAAGTCTTGCCTTCTTTCTTAATCTCCAACCTTCAAATCTCCTTTTCAAATCTGACCGCTATGTATGGTTCTAACACTTTAATAGGTATTCATATTGGTCACCTAGTGTTTTAAGACCCATCAAGTTCCCTAACATTGACAGTAGCACACTGAACCTGAGATTCAAGGCTGGTCACCAACAGGTTGCCCCAGGACATGGAGCGTGTCCTTGGCCAGCCCATTGTCAGCCCTGTGTGCCCATCCAGGCAAGTAGGACCCAGGAAAATGGAGTGTCAGTCATGATGTCCGCCTTCTGGGCCCCTGCAGCAAGGCAAGGGAGTCGGTCTTCAACCTGTTGCCACAGGTACATCTCACTCTCCCTGTTCTGCTCAAAGGTCATCAAGATACACTCCACTCCCCTGCCTGTCCGCAAGGAATAAGCCCCCGGGCATGTGGGCAGTCATCTCCCACGCCTGTCCACAGGGCGTAAGCCCCTGGGGACGTGGGTTCTGGTTGGACAGTCCTAGTTCTTACTGCAGAGGATGACTTGGCTCCATGGTCTCTGGCCTTTCACCTCGCGTGGGGTGACAGACCCTCCCTTGGTTTGTGGGTACAGTGAGTGGGTGAGCCTTATACTGACAGCAGACACCTGTTGACACCCCAGGCCGCGGAGAACTTACCAGGCTCCTGAGGTCTCTCCCAAGCAGGAGAAGAGCCCTGCCGTCAGGAGTGGGCTCCCGCATTGCTCACTTGATGTCTCTCCAATGACAGTCACAGCCGCTGGAATGTGTCCATCGCAGTCAGGGAGGGACTGCTCCTGCCCACAACCCCTTACCTAGCCCATCCTCCAGCCAGAGGCCCTTCCTGTCCATGAGCCCTCGCCAGTCCACATCACTGTCCAATCAGAGAGAGACTGTATCTTTCCACAACTCCTTACCCAGCCCCATCACGGAGTCCCCAACGGGCAAGAGGCCTTCCTATTCACAAGCTATCTCCCAGCCCCACCCCACTGTCCCCAACCAGAGAGCAATCGTTTCTGTTTGTGAATCTTTGCCTCCCCACCCCAATGTGACTGCTAACTTCTGTCACAACTGTGCTGAGAGAATGCCACAAGTGGCTGGCCGGGTATCAAGAACGAAAATCCATTTCCTCAAAGCTTAGGAAGCAAAAAGTCCATCCTTGGACATCCTAGACAGTCCATCCTTGGACATCCTACACAGACCTGGGTGTGTCCAGGGCACCGGTAAACCCGGGCGGGTCCTGGGCACCAGTAGACCTGGGCGGGTCCTGGGCCCTGGTAGACCCAGGCAGGCCCTGGGCACTGGTAGACCCGGGCAGGTCCTGGGCACTGGTAGACACGGGTGGGTCCTGGATGCTAGTAGACTGGACAGGGTGGTTTTGGTCGTCGGCAGAGTTGGATGTTCCTTGCGGTTTTGGATTGTAGACAATGCTGACAGGTACCTGTCTTTCCCAGGTGTGTATCTAAGTGTGTGTAAGAGAGAGTGTGTGTACAAGTGTGTGACAATGAGTGTAGGTAGAGGCCTTTGCACCTAAACTGATCTTTGTGAAACTCAGAAGTGGAGAAATGTTGGATCCACGCTAATCTGGTACAACCAGAACCAAGCACCTGGTCACACTGTATTCCATTCCTTCAGGGGGTTTGCTGTTGTTGGTAGGTGCCATGAAGGTGACTCCCACCACCCAGCCTACAGCAGAGCAGAGCACTGCCCAGTCCTTGCCCTCCCTCCCATGTGCAGCCCACTGTGGGAGCTGCTCTGTCAACCTGTGTCCCTGAGTGTCCTCCTGTCCCTCTCTGAGCCCCACTTAAGTAGACAGGTATTGGGCAGTTGGGTGGGCAGCGTTGAGACATTCTCGATCACAGTGACCCTCTGAAGGCCACCTCCGGACCTTGCCCTGCTCTGCACCATCCTCGGGAGCTTTCCAGGCTCAAACCTCTTCCCACGCTCACGGTGACAACTCAGTTCCTTGACCATCTGCTTCTCCTTTGTTGACCGTCCACTTTACCAAGCCATGGATTTGAGGTTGTTGTTGTTGTTGCTGTGGACCGTGGAGTCGGACTCTTAGTGGGTTTTCAGTGGCTGTAATTATATGGGAGGGGTTGCCCATCTTTCTCCTGCAGAGCAGCTGGTATTTTCAAACCGCTTGCCTTTGGATTGGCAGCACAATTCCTCACCATTCCGTGAGCACAGCACGACTCCCAGTGACCCTCTGAACAACAGATCTGAACCCTGACCTTTCCCACACCATCCTCATCATCCCTACCCTTTGGTGTCAAGCCATCTCATTGAGAATTTTCCCCTTTTGCTGACCTTTGACCTTCCCAAGCATGATGTCCCTCTGCAAGGAATAGCCCCTCCTAGCAATGTGCCTGAAGTATGTGAAGTGAAGCGTATCATTTTTTCCTCCAAGAAGCACTCTGGCTGCACCTTCTCCAAGACAGATCTGTTTGTTCTTTCAGGACTCCATGGGATATTCAGTGCTCTTTTCTTTATTTTTTTTTTGGTGCCGAAACCTGGGAATATCAGTGCTCTTTTCTAAGGCCACTATTCTTCTTCTGTCATCCTTACTCATTGTCAAGCTCTCAAGATGCAGAGCAAGTGACTGAAAAGACCATGGCCTGAATCAGGTGCACATCAGTCTTCAAACTGGCATCCTCAGTTATTTGGTGAGGTCCCTGGCAACAGACTTTCCCAAGGCAACACATCTCCTGATCTGACTGCCAGTACCAAGGGTGTTGATTGTGGATCCAAGTAAGATGAAGTTGTAGACAACTAAATCCTTTCTCCATCTGTCATGCTGCTGCTTATCAGTGCAGTGGTGAGGATTTTTATCTTGATGTTGAGATGTGACCCACAGAGGAGGCTGTAGTGTTTGATCTTCTGCAGCAGGCGCTTCAAGTTCTCACTTTCAGCAAGCAAGGTTGTTGCAGACGGAGGGTAAAATCTGTGTGACACAGGCTGTTGATGATTCTTCCTCCAATCTGGATGCCGCATTCTTCTACACAGAGTCCAGCTTCTCGAATGATTTGCTCAGCGTACAGATCAAATGGGACTAGAGAGAGCATACAGCCCTGACCCACACTTTCCTCAGTTTTAAACCATGTGGTCCTTTTCTCTGTTCACACAACAGCCTGCTGGTCTAGGTGGAGCTTTTGTATGAGCATAATGAAGTATTCTGGAAGTCCCATTCTTCTCACGTTACGCATAGGCAAAGGGTCTAGAATTCCAGTAAATATTTGTGAGATGCAAGAAAGATGCAATTCAATGTATTGGGCTTCTCATATGTAAAGAAGCAATAATAATATAAAGCAATTGAATGGATAAACTGGTGTAATCTTTAAATGTTTGAAACTCTTAAGAGTGGGAATTTTCACTAACATTATATTCAGTAATCTGACTTCAAAATACTAGGTCTGAGTTTCACAGCTGGTCAGGTCATTTTGAAAGAAATGACAATTCGGCCAGCTCTGGTGGCCTAGTGGCAAGAAGCTGCACTGCAATC